ACTATTTTTTTTTTCCAATTTTCTCCAAGTCCTTGTGAGTGTCACCTCCGTTTTACAAGAAAGGATATTAAGGCTCAGACAGTAGCTGTGGCTTAGAGAATGATTAGGTGGGAGGGTGACTCAGACTCCAGAGTTTGGGTCTGAATCCTGTGTTTCTGGCTCCTCCCTCGCACCTCTGAGCCAGGGCCCCCCTGGGTCACATCTGTGGGTGGCTCCTTCGCCTGCCCGCCTGGCCCCAGAGGAGGTGCTGGCTGCAGACCGCCCCTTTCTCTGAGGATGCTGACCTCTGGTCCTCCTTTTCTCCGCACAGACTTCATCATCGCTCTGCTTGGTGGAAAGTGTGGCAGGGGGCCAGTCTCACAGGGAGCTTGGGAGCTGGGATGGGCCTTCAGAGAAGCCTGAATTAAGGCAAGTGAGTGGATCTTTGCACGTTAGCATGGAGCAATCATGGGATGGGGGGCTACCCTGGGACAGGGTGTTACTCTCTGGCCAAAGGCAATGCCCTCAGAGGAACGCAGCTGTGAACCTTCGCAGCCAGCTCTCTGGCCGCTGGGGGACAAGAACCTGGGTCCTGGGCCTGGGCGTGGGCCCCACAGCATCCACTGCAAACCTGCTGGACCCAGCTTGAGGCAGCGCCACCCTAATTCACCTTTTCATCCAGTGCCTGATGGGTGGCTACCCAGTGGGTGGCTGTGTTTTGAAAGCAGACCATCGATGGACAGGGTAAGGATTTCAGTGTAGAGAGCACAGGAGGGTGGCATGGCCCTAGAACTTTGAGCCAGAATGCAGGGGAGCAGAGAGGAGAGAGGATGGTTTACAGCGTAGAGACAGCAGCTTCTCCCACGTGGCATGTCCAGGCTCGGGTGTGAGCTAAAATGAGATCTCAGCCCTGAAATCCGCAGGGCAAGATCAGATATCCCCAGCACCCAAGGAAGATGGAATAAGACGAGAACCTTCCTATCCAATGCTAGTTCCTTGTTTCAGCACACCTTGACTTTGTGGAACCCAGGCATCCCCCTTGCCCCAAAGATGGGCCATCCTTTCAGTGTCTTTAAATCCATCAGGAAACGACAAGCTAGCAGAGAAGGCAGCTCAGTTCTGAAGGCTACCCTGGTGGTGGGGCCTTTTGAGCCAGCATGAGAATCTACGTAGAAGCTAATCCTCTTGGCCATGAAGTCTGGCCCAAGAGCCATACTGGACAGACACCACCATATGGTGGCGCAGCTTCCAGAAGCTCGGCCAGTGGGTCCTGTGTCCTGTGCCCCTACTCTGGGCTGCATCAGATTCCAAGACACAGCCCAGCCCAGGGAGCAGCCTCTCTCCATTGTTTCACACATGTTGATGCTAACTCTGTTATTGATGAGACGAATAACATTTATTGAGCATGTACACATCATTGTAGTAAAAACAATTCAGCTACGCTTGATTAAACATTTACTGTAATTGAGTGCCGGGAATCGTGGTGAGCACTTGGCGTCAGGAAGTTCCTCTCTGACTCTGTCCCTCGTGGTGTGATTGCCCAGCTGGTCTGTGTCTTTGCTTTGGGACTGAGACGATTCGCTAACTGGAACCAACCTGACACATATGAAGGCTGACCTAGTTTTAAATGGAATCAGACTTTACAACTTTCAGGTAGGAACACAGGGTGACTTGCTGGGTGTCCTTGGGGAAGTCTCTTCCCTTCTCTGATCTTCACTTTCTTCATCTATAAAATGGAGAAGAGGCTGCTTTGAAAACTGTACTGTTCTGTGTAAGCTTGAGTGGTGATTCCTGTGGTCGACATTGCTACATTGTCATGTGCTCCCTTGGAAGCATCTGCTACATTGTCATGTGTTCCCTTGGAAGCATCATCGTGAAATGCAGGGACAATGTTTTCCATGCTTTATTCTGTTCCCGTTCTTCTGCAATCCTACGAAGCTTTTCTAGCCACCAGAAAGGGCGATGTGGTGGCCTGAGCAAGAGCCACTTAGCGCAAGGAGCAGGTGAGCTGCAGTCACTCGTCTGCTCAGAAACCATCAATGGCTCCCCATGGCCTACAGATTAAAGTTAGACTCAGCCTGGATTCAAGCTCCCCCTCAGGCCAGCTCTTTCCAGTCTCTTCTCCCATGAAACTGGGCTCCCGCAACTCTGGAAGGCCCTGGATGCTCTTGTGCATTCTCACTTACGTGCCTCTATTCCTGCTGCTTCTTTCCTTTGAAACGCCCTCCATAGCCCATTTTTTATTCCCAAATAGCTCTCCTCCCTGCTGATGGCTTGAAATTCCACCACCGGGGACTCATGTCTTTGAATGATTAGGATATTTCCTATTTTAAAAACGTCCAAGTCTGCCCTTAGCATTTGGCAACTTGACAGGAGCAGGTTCAGCTTAGAGAGAGTCATCCATCCCCTAGGAGCCAGGATGGTCATTTGTGTCTGCAGCCACCAGGCGGGGTAGGGGTGCTGGCCGAGGTCCAAACTCCTCTTACCCAGGCTGGCCACTTGGAGGTAGAAAAACTCGTGTGGCTGCTCGGGAATTTGTTAATGGTTTACTTTTTGTTGTTGATGTTGTAGGGTTTTTTTTTTGTTTTTTTTAAAAAATAGGATAATAAGTTAAAAGACCCAAGTGTAAAGAGTGAGGCAAGTAGCATAACTGACCAGCTAAGATTATGCCATATAACTCTGTACAGCCGGCTGAAATGTGGTGTCTTTCCGTCTGAGCGTGAACTGCATTCCTGATTCTTCCTTCTTCCCCAGTTCATAGGTTTATACACCTACAGTTTTCCCTTTGTGTCTGCTAGTTTACTTCTCGATGCCTTTTTTTATTTTGACTTTTATACAATTTTGCCTCTTTCATTTTATATGTTTAATTATGATGTTGAAGATGTTCTATTTTTAATCTTTGTATTTCACCCGAGTTTCTAAACTTAAATTCATCTTCTTCTTAACCAGCCAAATCAAAGCAAGTATTTATTTTCATTCTCTTTTATAGAAAGTGAGGAATTCAGTGGCATTGGCTTTTGTTCCCTTCACTTTTCCTCTTTTCTATTCTTCACTATTTTAGTCTAAGAATTAGATTCCCCTCCTTTGCTTTCTAAACATTCTCTTTTGCAAGATTTTTGTTTTTTTGTCTGTTGTAGCGTGCTTCAGTTCCAACAGGTGCACCGAGTAATTAGAGCAGTGGTTTGCAGACTTGGGTGTGCGTCAGAATCCCCTGGAGGGCTTGTTACAACAAATTGCTGAGCCTCACCCCCAGGAGTCTGATTCAGTAGTTCTGGGGTGGGGCCTAAGAACTGGCAAGTTCCCAGGTGTTCCAGGGACCCCACTTTGAGAACCACTGAATCATCTCGCAAACAACCTCTCTCCTCCCTTTGGTGTGTGGAGACTTCGTTGACAAACGTCTCTGTGCTCTGACCTGGTGGCGTCTGGATCTTGCAGCTCCGGTGGCCCCATGAGAAATCCTGTCCTGAATTTAGCTCTTGAGTTCTGGAGTTGTTTTTTGAAAACTTTTCACTGAAAAGACCGAAAACTAGTGGATTTTCCAAGGCTTCTTGCAGTTGCCTTCACTCAGAAGGATATGGCTGGGACCAGAATTCTTGGGTGCAGTGTTTGCCTTGCGGGTATCTCGAGGGGCAGCCTGTCCTGCTCTGTGGGTGGGAGATGTGTACGGTTTATCAGATTTAAGTCCATGGAAAGAAACCTAGATTTTCCCTCCCCTCTACTTGGAAGTACTTAGGAATTTTTCTTCCTCCTTGAAGCTTAAATTTGTGACAAGCAATGTCTTAAATTTGATTTCTGATCATTAATTCTGCTTGAAACTCAATGAATCCTCAGTATAATAGCTTCTACACAGTGCTCATATAACTTCGGTGTCACCATTTTTCCTGTAGGTCTTTTTTTTTTTTTTTTTGAGGAAGATTAGCCCTTAGCTAACATTTGTTGCCAGTCCTCCTCTTTTTTTTTTCTTGCTGAGGAATATTGGCCCTGGGCTAACATCCATGCCCATCTTCCTCTACTTTATATGTGGGACGCCTGCCACAGCATGGCTTGATAAGCGGTGTGAGGGTCCTTGCCTGGGATCCAAACCTGTGAACCCTGGGCCACCAAAGCAGAGCGCATGAACTTAACCACTACGCCACTGGGCCGGCCCCTCCTGTAGGTCTTATTGTTGAGCTGAAGCCATGCTCTCAGGGCATCTTCACACGTTCTCACCTGGGAAGACAGCAGACACTCTCTTGCCACCAAGACTTTGCCTGGGCCATTCCTTCTGCCTGCACATCCTTCTTCCCTCTCTGCCTGGAAAACTCATAAGCATCCTTCAGGTATCAGCTCCAATGCTGGTTTCCATAGGGCTGGCCACGATTTGCTCTCAGGGCTGCGCCCGCCTCGGTGTGCCCACCTGACCCACATCATGCCCACCTCGTTTTATCTTTGTGTCCCAATGCCTCGCCTGGTGCCTGGCACATGGTTGTGACAGCAGCCACCATGTACAGGGCACTTCCTGTGTACCAGGCACTCTTTAGTCCTTGAGGCATTCCGGCGAGGTTTGGGTGCTCTTGTCATCCCCGTTAAAGATTAGGAAACAGCAGTTTCTTGGGGAGTTCAAGTCATTTGTCGCTGGTGGGGTTGGAATACAGACTAGTCTGGCAGCTTTTGGACTCTGCACTCTTCTACACTCTGAGTAGTAGGCACTGGATACTTGCTGGGTGAGTGATGAATGAACAGGTGGCCGTGACGAGTACAGGTCCTGCTGATGGAGGCACGCAGTGGGTGAGCTTGTGATGAGAGAAAGGACAGGGAGCACTCCAGGGCCGGGCTGAGCCTAGGAAGGCTCGGGGGGCAGGCTGAGCACATGGCCAGAGCTAGGCTGTGGAAGGAAGACTGACTTTGTGTCTTTAGTACTGCGTCCTGTGGCCCTGTGCCTGGTACCCAGAGAAGGCTGGTCTCAGGAAGGGCTGGTTAATGCTCCAGTAGTGATGCCGTCTCTGTCTCCTCCTTTCTCCCCGCCCCCGCCCTGCCTTCAGCCTCGCCGTTCATCATAGCCATGCTCCTGGCCAGCCTCAACAGCTGCTGCAACCCCTGGATCTACATGCTCTTCACGGGCCACCTCTTCAACGAACTCATGCAGCGCTTCCTCTGCTGCTCCTCGGGCTACCTGAGGGGCAGCCGGCCGGTGGAGACAAGCGTCAGCAAAAAGAGCAACTCGTCCACGTTTGTCCTGAGCCAGCACGGCTCCAGCCAGAGGAGCTGCTCGCAGCCATCCACCGTGTGACCGGGCTGGGTCAGGACTGCCTCCCTTGGCTTGGATCGTGCTGACATAGAAAGTCCACCCTTGGTGGCCACGTACGTATGTGTGTAAGGTACCTTTGAGTTTGTACCCCTGCACACCTGGGGGTAGCTTGAGTGGGGTGGGGGATTCTGATCTGGGGTGGGGCAGTGGTCTCCATGGTGGGAGATGATAGGATGACTCAGCCATCAGACCACCCCTGGATCTCCCCTGGGCTCCCACAGGCACTTCTGCTACCCTGACCCCACTGCTGCCCCGGGTGGGTGGATGGGTGGTCTTTTTTTTCTTTCCTGGACTTGTAATTTCACTCCAGTACCTTTTTACTCCTTTACGCTGGGATCTTGTGAAAGGTGGTAAGTGTAGGATTGGTGACCAGTTGGGTGCAGAAGCCTAGTGCATTGAGCTCCGAGTAAGGAGTGGGAATGGGACCTCAGATGCGGAGGGTGGTGCTAATATCCTCCTGACCTCAGAGTGCTTTTGTCTTTGAGTGGACCGACCCTGGGTGACAGCTTGTCAGAAGGTGGTCCAAGGAGCAGAGGACTCCCTATTAGACCCTTTGGCACAAGCAGCCGATTAAAACTTGGGTTAAAAATGTTTAAGAAGCTAATATTTAAGAAGCAACTGGGGGAAAAAATAAAAGGCATCCAAAGTGGAAAAGAAGAAGTAAAACTCTTTGCAAATGACATGATTTTGTATATAGAAAATTCTAGGGAATTCATGCACACACACAAACCCATTAGAACTAATAAATGAATTCAGCAAGGTTGCAGAGTACAAGCTCAATATACAAAAATCAATTATATTTCTTTATACTATCATGAACAATATGAAAATGAAATTAGGAAATAGTTCCATTTAGAATAGTTTCAGAAAGAATAAAATAGGGGGCCGGCCCAGTGGCGCAAGTGGTTAAGTGCACGCTGCAGTGGCCCGGGGTTCGCCGGTTCAGATCCCGGCGCGCACTGACACACTGCTTGTCAGGCCATGCTGTGGCTGCGTCCCATATAAAGTAGAGGAAGGTGGGCATGGATGTTAGCCCAGGGCCAGTCTTCCTCAGCAAAAAAAAAAAGAGGAGCATTGGCAGATGTTAGCTCAGGACCGATCTTCCTCACAAAAAAAAAAGAATAAAATAGGAACAAATTTACTGAAAGAAGTGCAAGACTTACACCCTGAAAACTACAAAATATCATTGAAAGAAATTGAAGAAGACTTAAACAAATGGAAAGACATCCTGTGCTTACGGATCAGAGACTTAAATGTTTTTAAGATGACAGTACTATCCAAATTGGTCTATAGATTCAATGCAATCCTATCAAAATCCTAGCTGGCTTCTTTGCACAAATTGATAAGCTGATCCTAAAATTCATATGGAAATGCCAGGGACCCAGAATAGCCCCATAAACCTTGAAAAAGGAGAACAAAGTTGGTGGATTCACACTTCCCAATTTCGAAACTTACTACAAAGCTACAGTAATCAAGAGTGTGGTACTGGCATAAGGATAGACATACAGACCAATGGAATAGAATAGAGAGTACAGATATACACCCTTACATTTATGGCCAGTTGCTTTTTGACAAGTGTGACAAGATAATTCAGTAGAGGAGAATACTCTTTTCAACTTGTGGTGCTGGGACAACTGAATTTCCACTTGCAAAAGAATGAAGTTGGAGCCCTACCTCACACTATATACAAAAATTAACTCAAAATGCATCAAAGACCTAAACATAAGCACTATAAAACTCTTAGAAGAAAACATAGGCGTAAATCTTCATGACCTTGGATTAGGCAAAGGTTTCTTAGGTATGACACCCAAAAGCATAAGCAAAGGAAAAATAGATAAATTAGACCCCGTCAAAACTGAAAACTTTTGTCCTTCAAAGGATACTATCAAGAGAGTGAAAAGACCAACTCACAGAATGGAAGAAAATATTTGTAAATCATATACTTGTATCCAGAATATATCAAGAACTCTTACAACTTAACAATAAAAAGACAAGCCAATTTTAAAAATGGGCAAAATATTCCTTTGAATATCAAGACAATTTTATGTCTTCTCCAAAGAAGGTATACAAATGGCCAATAAGCCCGTGAAAAGATGCTCAACATTATTATTCATGAGGGAAATGCAAATCAAAACCACAGTGAAATACAACGTCACACCCACTAAGATGGCTATAATCAAAAAGATGGGCAATAACAGGTGTTGGCACAGATGTAGAGAAATTGGAACTCTCATACATTGCTTGTGGGAATATAAAATGGTGCAGCCACTTTGGAAAATAGTTTGGCAGTTCCTCAAAAAGTTAAACATAGAATTACCATATGAGCCAGAAATGCCACTTTTAAGTATTTACACAAGAGACATGAGAGTGTACATACACACAAAAACTCGTACATAAATGTTCATAGCACCGTAATTTACAATAGCCAAAAAATGGAAATAACCCAAATATCTGTCAACTGATGCCTGAATAAACAAAATGTGGTATATCTATACAGTGGCACGTTATCCAGCTATGAAAAGAATTGAAGAACTGATCCATGCTACAACATGGATGAAACTTGAAAACATCACACTAAGGGAAAGAAGCCCTTGCAAAAAGCCACGTAGTGTGTGATTCTATTCATACAAAATGTCCAGAGTAGGCAGATCTATAGAGACACATTATAGAATAGTGGTTTCCAGGGGCAGGAGGCTGGAGTGAATGTGGAGTGACTGCTAATAGATGCAGTGTTGCTTTTTCTTTGGGGTGATGAAAATTTTTCTGGAATAAGTGATGATGGTGCATGATTTTGAGAATATGCTAAACACCACTGAATTGAACACTTTAAAAAATAAAAAATAAACAAAAAATGTTTACCAGCTGAATTCAGAGGCAGCCAGCTTGAAGGATGAATTCCTCGGAACCTCTTACCTCCCAGAGCTTTGTCTCTCTGTGTGACTTACCATTTTGGAGGAATCCCGTGGTTTTCTTACTCAGTTTTTCTGCAAGAGATGGTGTTTCCAGTTTGGCCAGAAATACCAGCAGTGCTCATACACCCATCCTGCTCTAGTAAAGGTGCAGTGATGCCTTGTGGCTGCAGACTGTTGTGTTTTATTTAGAAGAGCAATTCACCAAGGGTCTCAGAGGTTGTGCTTACCTGGTAAACATGTTCTCAGATGTCCTCTCAACCTGGAGGTAGGATGTGACCATGTCCAAGAAATACCTTTAGTCCTTAAATATGGGACATTATGCATCGGAGGTTTTCTGACTGGGACTGGCCAGCTCATGGGCACTCTGGGGCTCTTTTTTATTTCCACACATATTTTTGAACTCACTGTGATGCAGCAAGAGCACTTCCCAAAAGCCACAGATCCACTGTCTCTATACACACTTTCCTCTTCTCCCTGCATTATACATACACGCACGCGCGCACACACACACACACGCACGCACACACACAGTAGAATGAGCTAGCAGGGTGTAGATGTTCAGGGAGATGAGAGACTGAAATGCCAGTGTTCAAAGTCTGCATTTCGTATGAGACCTTCAGTACTGACTGGAGACTGAGGATGTTGTCACCTTTGGACCCAGAGGCGTTGCAGTGTGCTTGTGACGTGCCTTAGACTGCCAACACTAGCCAGCCCTGCTCTGTGGGAAGTAATGGGATGCTGGTGTGGGGTCCCAGTGCCCACGTACAGGACCCTGGGGCACTCTGGCTGCAAACAGTGATGGTGGGGCTGCTGGCATTTGAGCCTCTCTGCTCACCAGTCAGAGATGCCCCCGTCTCTGCTGTTCCCAGGGAAGCTGCCATCTTAGCAGCCAGCAGAGGCCACTGGGGATCAAGGAGACAGCGACTCTCAGTAGCTTTTTCTGACCAAGGGCACAACCTTCCTAAGAACCTTGGAGTTGCAACGTTCTTGGGCACCAGAACCCACTGGACATTTGATTTCAGTAGCACCTCTGGCTATACGCCCCTCCCCTCCCAGTCTTGTCCTGCAGAATATTTTCACCGTCTCTTAGTCTTTCCCCAACCAAAGCCTGGAAGAATGAGTGAGGGGTCCAGAACGCTACCTCGAGCTCAGTTGTTTCTGTTCTCCTTCCCTTGTCCCCATGCCTGAGGTCTGCAAACCATCTGTTTCCATAGTTTCACACCGGTTTACAAACCTGACACATGTCTGGAGGTTCCAATAAATTGCAATATGCAGATTTTCTTCTGGAATGTTTCATTGTTCTGGTGGTCAAAAGTGAAATATGAGCATTTGAAGACTCAGAGCCTTATTTTTCAGGCCCTGAAAAACATTCTGTCACACAGTTTGGTCTCCTTTTGGGATGGGTCTATGGGCTGTGACTGCAGGAGGCTACCTTTTACAAAGATCCTGGTTTCAGAGTGCTTAACCTTTTGTATTTAATTGCAATGAAATACCACTAAATGCAGAATGTGAATTACTCGATTTTGTTCTGTTGTGACTTCTGTGGTACCCTCGGGTTCTGTGCCATTTGGTGAATGATGTGGCCAATAATGAGATGTCTGCTTCATTAGCTGCTTTATAGAAGGTGCACCTAATAAACATTTTTTTCATACATTGCTTTGCCCTCTTTCTCCTTCTCAAGAACAGTGACCATGTCTGGTGGCTTGCAGACTTGAATTTCCTTGTGGGGCTGTGGAGTTATCTGCCTGATTATGACAGAGGGGCACCTGGGCTGTTGGGGGTGGTGGGGGGAGGAGGGGCCCTGGTCCCATTGTCTTCTGTCACAGGGACTCTCATTTGTCAGAGTTCTGCCAGAAGATGCTCTAAGTCCCAGGAACAAACCTCTTGTGTGATGTAGCTACACCCACTGCGTGCTACAGTCTAACTCTGGAGAAGATAGGATTCTAGATTGTCACCTTGAAAGGGCCCTAACACATATTTCTTCAAGTGGGATACAGGGCCACCTGCAGAATCACAGGTGGGTTTGTCTTCGTTCCTGGGCTCCACTGCTGAATCACAGTCTGCAGCCGGGGCCCCACACCTGCATTTTGAACAAGAGTCCCTGATGATCTGGATGTAGTGTATGAGATCTCCACCTCCCTCCTCTGGCCCATTCTCATTATGTCCCCAGCATGCTGTCCTGCACGCTGCTGCTCAAGGGGTGTCCTGGGAGGAACGGAACTCCTCAGACACACATGCCTCTAAACGTGGATCCTGTCTCCAGTTCTATGAACTTCACGGTAACTGAGTACCTGCCAAGGTCTGCCCTAGAGAAAGACAGCGAGCTTGAAAAATTGGAATCCTAGTCAAATCAGGGTCTAGCAAATGCCAGGATGGTGAAAAATCTCTGCATAAGCCAAGATTCCAAGTCTGAAACTGATGGCCTAATGATTTCAAGAGACGTTTGAAAGGGCAGGCCCTTCGAGGAGGGTGTAAGTAATATTGGCTTTAAACCTTTTCAGCAGGAGGAGCCTGGGCTCGCTGGGTCCACTTGAGAATGCAGAGCCCCAGGGTAGAGCAAAGAGCAGTGGGCTGGAACCACAGCACGAACCTGGCTAGCTGCGCACCTTTTGGCAAGTCTGCTGACCTCTCTGGGCTGTAACTTCCTCATCTGGAAAAAATTAAGGGATGGATGATGAAGTGTTTAGGAGTAAAAGATACTGATATCTGCAGCTTATTTAAAAATGTTTAAAGAAAGATGAAATTGGTGGACGGATAGAGACGTGACAAAGCAGGAACACTGAAATGTTAATTCTAGAGCCTGGATGGATGGTGGGTATATAGTGCTCACGGCAAACCCTTTCAACTTTCCTTTGTGTTTAAAAATTTCATAATGCTAAAAAAAAAAAAGTGGGTAAAATTTTAGAGCTGAAGTGGGCATTAGAAATCATTTTATGGATGATAAAATTGAGGCCAGATAAGGCAGCTAGGAGGAGAGGCAGCACTAGAACCGAGGCTGCCTGTGCCCTGTCTCCCAGTCCATGTGTGGTCACCCTACCACATTGTCCCCCAAGACCCCTTGGGCTCATGGCCAGGCACCAGTGAAGTGATACTTCTGAAAACCTGAAAAGTGCTGTGGAACCTTAATTTTATGAGACTTAAATGGGTGTTGCATGAAAAAAAAAAAAAAAAGGTCAAATAGGATTGGGAGATACTGGCCTAAACAGGTTTTTTTTACTGCAGGACTTGTCAGAGCCTTTAATGTACTAATATCTATTGAAAATCTCTGAGAGCAATGTATAGCATTTGCCAAACAAATTTAACCACAAGAGCCACCTCCACCTTTTTTATGAAGACTAAGTTCTGGATAACACACTTGGGAAAAGCATCCCTAAAGAATGTGAGATTGCTGGGTTAGTTGTTATTTTTTTGGTGGGGGTAGGTGGGGAGGAGGTGGGACTTTCCCTTTCTATTGCTTCCTATTTCCATAGTGAGTCCACTCATGCACACATTGGACCTTATGCTCCCATCACATCTGTTAGGGCTGAAGGTGTACATGTGCCAAGTGGCAATGCCAGGGGCTTGGGTCTGGTGAGCCCGAGGAGAGGTTCAGAGAGGTGTGAACCCAGGCCCTGCCCTCAGTGGTCCCCAGGCAGGGTCCCCACCCCTTCCAGCCCAAGGGCCATTTTCTTCTGTTGGTGACCACTGGCTGGCCCAGGGGCAACAGAAGTCAGTGAGAAATAATCTCCCAAAGAATATGGGGCAGCAGATACCCAGCAAACAAGGAAAATCTTAAGAGAAACCAAACTCTGTTCTGGTTCTTGGATTTGGCGGGGAGAAGGGTTGACCAACTTGCCTCTTTGTTTCTCAGGGCAGCGAAATATATTTCTGGAGCTGATCAGGACACGCACGCACCTTATGGACACACACAAAACGTAGCATTCCCCAAATGCCGCCGAAATCCTTTATTGGAGCCACCCTCCGAACGCCAACAGTCACTGATGGCTCTCCCGGGCGGCGTGCGTGGACAGGTTGACCCCGGGGGGAACCGAGTGCTGGTCGATGCTGTTACAGTACAGGTGAACGCAAGGACTTGAAGTAGCTGCCTCTTAGCAAACGATCTTCCCTCACGCCCCGGCACGGGGGCATCGTGGGGGGACGGGGCAGAGTGAAGGGCCACTGTGCTTCCGTCTGGGGGCTGTCTTTTCTTTCTGGCTTCCCTAAACTGTGCGCTCCTATCTTGGGGGGGAAATAGCAGTCCCTAAGGAGAAAGAGCTCGCGGAATCACCCCGTGGAGCAGTACTGTGGGGCCAGCCTGGCCTGACTCCCCCCGTCCGGCCACCCCCCGTCGCCCCACCGGGCGTTACACTTCCTTCCGCAGCATCACCTTGATGCTGCTGCACATCTGGCCCAGGGCGGCGAAGAGCGGGTTGCAGAAGGTGCGGATGCAGAGGGAGTAGATGTGGCTGATGCACTGGATCTCGATCAGGTAGCTCTTAATGCACGGCACCACCGCCCAGATGTGGCAGAAGGAGATGCAGGCGAACAGGAAGCCCCAGAGCAGGGCCAGCGGGACGCCGAGCAGCGTGGACAGCAGGCGGTAGCACCAGTACTTGGAGACGGTGAAGGTGGTGTAGCTCACCTTCCACACGCCGTCGAAGCTGTAGGTGCCCACGGGCTCCGCGATCACGTCTTCGAAATCCACCTGCGGGGGCGGGAGGGGAATCCTCAAGTCACAGATCCACCCGCTTCTCAGGCGTTTGGGAGTGAGCATCAGATCCCCCCTGGAGGGCTTGTTAAACTGATGGCGGGACCCCACGCCGGGGATCCTGACCCGCCACATTGGGGGTGGGGCCTGAGACTCTGCATTTCTGACAAGCTCCCAGGTGATGCTGATGCGGCCCTAGAGCAGTGAGGCACAAGAGCTGGTCCACCCCCCCATCTGTGGGTGGATAAGCAGGCCCCGAGGAGTTGAGTGACTCGCTTAAAGTCAGCAGTAAGTCAGAGGCAGGCCTAGAGGCACGGCTCTCAAATTCTATTATTTTGTGATCCCAGGGAGTTGGACAGTCATAGTCATCCCCAAAAGATTTACCGCGTGCTGCTGATGCAATGGTGAACGGGCACAGGTTCCTGCCCTCCCAGAGCTTATGGCGGGACTTGTACCAATGGGATAAATGTTCGAGAAGGAAAGGACAGGGGGCTGTGTGCATTTCACTCAGCCTGGGGATAAGGGAAGCCTTCCTGGAGGAAGAGACATCTGGCTAAGCTGATACCTGCAGTAGCCAGGTGGAGGGAGGAGTCGTGGGCTGGAAAAGAACGTGTGGGGCAGTAACTGCTGGGGCCTAGTGGGACAGACAGTGTGTGCTCTCAGGGCAATGCAGGTGCTTCTGGAGGGCTGAGTGCAGGCCCGGCGGCCAGAGTGGCTGTAGAGGCGGGACAGACATGGGGTGATGAGCAGCCTCTGAAGGTTTTTGCGCAGGGAGCGGCACGCCCGGATCTGAGTTGTTTTTTTCTTTCTGAGGTGTAGTTGACATATAGCATTATATTAGTCTCAGGTGTACAGCATAATGATTCGCTATCTGTATAGATTGGGAAATGATCAGCACACTAAGTGAAGTTAACATCCATCACCACACATAGTTACAAATTTGTGTCTGTGGTGAGAACTTTTAAGATTTACTCTCTTAGCAACTTTCAAATATGCAATAGAGTATTATTAACTATAGTCACCATGCTGTCCATCACATGCCCAGGACTTATTTATTTTATAACTGGTAGTTTGTACTTTTTGACCCCCTTCACCCATTTCGCCCACCCCTCGCCTTTGACAACCACCAGTCTGTTCTCTGTGTCTCGATCTGAGTTTTGAGCAGCTCATTCTGGCTGCCGTGGTTGGGGCGCTGGCAAGGATGCATGTGGGGGACGAGTTGGGTGCTGTCGCAGTATTCCAGGCAGGACTTGACGGCGGCCTGGTTTGGGGTGATGGTGGTGAGCTAGAGTGCGCAGGTCTGAGCTATTTTAGGATCCGGCACATGGCAGAGTGAGGGCCTCGCCATCCTGGCTAGCAAAGGGTCTGGTGTCTGTGTGGCCCAGCTGGCCTGAAGCGCCTCGTGGGGTGATGGGAGTCATCTTCCTGGTCCTGCAGCGACCTCAGACTTTCCTCTCCCTGCTGCCCACCCCGTCCCTCCTTTGCGGCTGGAAGGAACATGGGCAATCAGAGAACCCGGTTCCCACATCCCACTGAAATGGGGACTGAGGTCCCATTTGGGAAGTGGGAAAAAATAATCAGTGGACTTAAAAAAAAAAGATTACTTTCAGCCAGGTCACTCACCCAACCTTGCTGGAGTGCCTGCTGTGCATTAAGCACTGTCATGGCTGCTTTCTATAAGTGATGTCATTCAGCGTCACTAAGTCTTGGCTGTCTTCTCTGTAAAATGGGGTCAGTGACCATCTTACAGTGTTCCTGGTCCAGTTTAATAAAAGTTGGTTGAATGAATGCACAAACTAATCAGACTAACGGGAGGGGTCCCCTGTCGGGGCCGGTGGGGCCAGAGCTCACACATCAACCAGCCAGGACGGGCCCCTTTCCCAGTTTTGTTGGGGGGCAGGGAGATGGTCCTCTCCATGCACAAAGTTATTATTAAAATTGCTTTTCATTATAAAATTACATAGCCACATTGCAGAAAATTAAAGGAACAGCAAGAAGAAAACAAAAGCATCTCCAATTTGTGTTTCTCTAGCACTAAAAATACCATTGCTTGGGTACTTCTCTTTCCAGTGTGAAGTTTTTTGGTGGGGAAGTGGGCATAACCGTGTTGTACGTATACCACCTCTTGGGCAGTGCTTAGCACAATACCTGGCACGTGGTAGGTGCTCAGTGAGAGTAATTATTTGTTCCATTGCTCTGGCATTCCCATGAAAAGATATCTCAGAAAATCTGTTGAGACCCCAGATCACAAGCTCGTATGATTCCGGCCTACCTCGTCATAAATGCGGGTGTGCTGAGGCCTGCGCTGGTTGGATGGATGGAATCCTCTTTTCGCTCGTTTTCTGCTGATGGTAATAATCCTACCCCCCGGGATGTCTCTGTTGTGTCTTTTAATTATCATTATTTTTGCAGAAGCCATTGGCGCTGACATTCGAATTATTTCCAGTGATTGCCTTCGGGCACTGTGCGTGGTCAACTGCTCCGTTTTCTGTCAGAAAATGTGCTCTCAGAGGACGGGCTGTGCTGGGAGGAGGTGGCTGTCTGCGCCTCGGGTTGACCGTGGAGACAGCTTTGGTCAGAGTGCTGGTTCGGGGAGATATTTATAAGACCCGGCTCACGCAGCTCTAGGCAGTGGTGCCAGTGTATCAGAAGCACACAGTGACTTCATTTCTTAGTTTGTTCCCAGAAGCGGAGGGGAGATGGCTTTTTCTGGGAGGGTGGTGGGGTGGGGGCTGGATCCATCGGTGGAGGCCCAGGGCTCCGTGTGCAGCTGGAGGGAGGGGTTGGGGTGGGAGGGGGAGAAGGTGGCTGGTGGTTCAGCTGGTGCCCCCTCCTCTGGCATATTTATTTTTGGAACAGCAAGAGAGCCAGTTGATGAATCGGAACCAGCCAGCGCAGCCCCCGCCGTCTCCAAAGGGCGGGGAAGGTGCAGGATAGCGGAGGATTCGGGGGAGGCCAGCAGCCACCCCCTGTCAAAAATACCTCCCCAGATTCCTGCGTGACTCAGTCCTTGGGCATCCAGGGCCCTGGACAATTCCAACAGGGTATCTGTGGGTGGGGAAACAGTGCTAGGCAGGGGGATAGACATCTGGTTCCAGCCCCCACTTGGCTATGGAGTTACTGTGTGACTTTGGGCACGGTGCTTTCCCTCTCTGGGCCTCTGGGGTTTTGTTTGTTTGTTTGTTTTTTTGTGTTTTAACTCTCCACCAAGATGATTGGGCCAAGATCCCTGATGAAACAGTTAGTTTTGGAGTCAGATGGTCCAAAGGGGTGGCTTAGCTTGGCTGGGTCTTACTTTACTCCCCTGTTACCTTGCTGTTTAAAAGGTGGTCCACATTCAGTGCCTCCCTCGCCAACAAGGTAAGTACAGAAGTTGAGAGGAAGCATTTAGAAATATTCACAGAATTTTGACACAGTAATTTTATGTCCATTGAATCTAATAATAATAAAAACTGGAGCTTATATTGTGGATGCCTGTTTTTCATTTCATTTCTCTAGTAATTCATTTTTATGCTGTAAGTTTTGGTGTACAGCAGATTGGAATCATACTAGTAAAACTGGCCCTTCACCCCGATTGTTGGAGAAGCACTGGCCTATAAAGCAGAAGCAGCTGCAAAACAGCTGAAAAATGGCAGAGCTTCGCTTCTTGTGTTATAATTGGTGATAACAAAAATAGAATCCTATACAATCTGGGATCACCGTAGTAACGCCCACAATTTGGCCCTTGTAGGTGTCAGCTTCGGTGGTGTGTCTTATATCTGGTATTTCACCCGGCCTGTAAGGGACGAGCAGGGGTGGAGCCCACGCTGGCCGGACATCAAAGCCTGCGCCTGAATTTCCTCTGCCGTCTCCCTGACCACAGCACGCAGCGAAGGCCCATGCTGAGGGCGGGAGGAGGGGGCCAGGGGTTAGCTGGAGCTTGGGGTCCAGGGCACCTTATGGGGGGACCTGGGGTACTGGGCTGGGGCTTAAAGGGACTTGGATTCCTGGAAAGGATTTGGAAAGAGACGGAGATAACAGAGGGCTTCAAGGTGAGAGAAAGGACCCTGCCAGAAGAACCCCGTCAGACCTCAGTGATGGGGTCCTTTCCCTCCTGCCCATCTTCCCCTCCTCTCTCCTGCGCTCTCAGTCTCTGCCTTCAGGAAAGCTGGTGCAGGCGGGATGAGAGCAGGAGGAATAGCCCTGGGTTGAGATCCAGGCTTGGCTGTGTACCAGCTTGTGGTGGGTGGTTAGCTAGTCTTCAGAGATGGCCCCCAATTAGTCATGCCTCTCAGTGTCAATATCCTTGCACAGTCTCATCCCATGTCAAGTCTGGGCTTGCCCTGTGACTCGCTTTAACCACCAGAAGGTGGTGGAAGGGATGCTGTGCCAGTTCCGGTCCTAAGCCTCAAGAAGGCCTGGCTCAAGCTTGAGCTTCTGGGAGCCCTGAGCCCCATGTTGGAAGCCCACTGTTATACCCTGATCTAGAGACCAGTGCAGTTAGAAGTCCGTTGTTAGACCCTGCTCTAGAGACGGGTGGAGAGGCCATGTAAAGGGAGAGGCCCAACAGCACACGAAGATAGAGGCCCAGCCATCTCAGCATCCCAGCTGAGCCCAGCCTTCCATCCATCCCCACCAAGGCACCAGGCATGTGAGTGAGCCATCTTGGATGCTCCAGCTCAGTGGAGGCCCCAGCTGCATGCGAGGCTGCCAGTGGGACAAGCAGAACTGCCCAGCTGAGTCTAGTCAACCCACAGAACTGTGAGAGATCATCGAATGGTTGTTGCTTTAAGCCATCGAGTTTAGGGATGATTTGTTACACAGCAATAGATAACTGATACAGTGTGTCTTTAGGGATAACTGGAGATAAGTCTGGACTCCAGTTTATCTTCTATAGGACAAGGGGAACTTGTTTGCACTTGAAAGTGCAAAACATTCACCAGCCCTGCCCAATAAGAATTTCTGGTGGCAGGGCCCAGAAATCTGCATTTTATCAGGCTCCCCAAGAAAGTGGACCACATTTTGAAAAACTCTAGACTAGTTGATGCCCAGCGGTCCCCATAACACAAGTTACAAATACCTCAGTGAGAGTTAGCCCAAGGTGGCCCCCTTCTTAGAGGTACTTGACAGAGAGCAAGACATTTCCAAAAGGAAGGAATTCCCAGTGTGGAATAATTGGCAGTTTGCATGACCTTCCATAATCCAGCCTCAACCTGACCCTTCTGCCTCCTCTCCCACAAATTCCCTTTCAGATGCTCTGTCTTAGTTCCGTTGTTCTCTGGAACAGGGTAGTAAAGAGGTTTCATCTATGTGCCAGCTCTGCCTCACTGATGGTCCATGGCTTCCTGGAAAAGTGCTGGGATCAATTGGTAATGTCTGCCATGGACATAGGCAGGGGGAATGGCAATACCCATCCGTCATGTTTGCCAGCTCTGCCCAACATTCTTCTCGATGTTGTGGCCCTTGCTTTTTTTGTTCTTTTCTTGGAAAGCCTTATTCCCCCTTTCCACATTTAAACTTTTTCCCATTGTTTTATGCACCTTGGATACCACCTCCCCATGAAGCTGGATCCTGATTTTCCCAGGTGAAAGTAATGTCTTCCTCCCTTAACCTCCCGTGACACTTCGTCTGGCGCTAATTTATGGCATTTAGCACCTTCGCCCATGGATTCTCATTATTTTAGCCTCATCTTCTCTTTTGGGCTGGATTCTTCTCAAGAGGAAGTACCAGGTCAGTTTCATCTTTCTGCAGCAGGGTGTCCAGATGGGCCCAAACTGGGAGCAGGGTTTGTAGAACTGGTGGGCTACTGGGTCCTCTGGGTGTTGATTAGCCTGAGCCGACAGGCAGAGGGTGTTTGTGTGTTTTACTGAAGGAGGAGGGCGTTTAGTGGCAGATGTGGGTTGGAGGTGGCTGGGAGCCAGTATGGTGGGCTGGGATCATGTCTGTCCCCCCGCCCTGTTTGAAGGGCCGACTTTAAGTGCCTGAGGAGAGAGCGATTGAAGCCAGGAGCTGAAGGAGCTGCATGACACTCTGGGCTCAGGCATCCCTGCTTTAGGGCCCGGTGCCTAAGTGTGTTAGGGAGAGGAAGCCTGTTGATGACACAGCCCTGGGCCCTCTCAGAAATAACGCAGGGGGACTTTGGAGCGGGGCCGGGGTCCTGCCTGGGGAAGAGGGCTGGAGCCTTCACAGCGGGGGTCTGAAGGGAAAGGGGTCCTCACTGGTAAGCTGGAGAGCCCTGGGGACCCTTGGCAAACATTCACACCCCTCCAGAGCCTGGCCTGGGGGCTTACACACAGTGGGTCTCATCACCATCTCCTCTGAGACAGCAAGTGCCTGGCACACAGTAGGCACCCAGCAATGATCTGAGGAATCAATGTCCCCGAATGGTGGTGATGGTGGGGGCGAAGGGACTGGAGTGTGCTCTCCCCAGCTGCTCAGCTCTGATCCCCCATGAGCCTCCCCTCTGCCCTGGGCCCTGCCCTGGACCTTGGAGACCACAGTGTAAGGCTGCTGGGCTGTACAGGGCTCTCCCTCTGCCTTGGGTGCTCATTTTCCAGCCTGGGTTCAAGGGCAGCACCAGGCCTGGCTTGGGGGAAGTCTGGGGAAGTTTTGACTCTGGAAAGTCAAAAGGGAGCGCCTCCCCTCTGCTGGGGGTCAAATCCACGGATGCTGTGGGTCTATCTCTTACTCTTCATCCTTGGCTTTTCTGTGTGAAACCTCAGCAGCTGGTGGCAGAGGGGACGGGTCTCCCTCCTCTCCACCCAGCCTCTGCCTACCAGGGACTTGGGCCCAGAGAGGGAAAGGGATTTGCCTAGAGTCACGCAGCAAGTTAGTGTCAGGGCTAGGACCAGAACTTGGGTCTCTGTAGCCTGGCCTTATTCCAGCATCTTCCTTTGTCACTCATCCTAGCCCATGAGGAGCCTGTTGCCACGTGTGAAGCCAGCCCTGATGGGTGTCTTCCGAGTCATCTCGGCCTCTGCCTTGTTTCTCTGTCTCCCTCACCCCTCACTCCCTTTTCCTTTCCCCACCTTCTGTCTTGTCTTTCCCCTGGTTGATGACAGAAGCCCGGGTGACCCGAAAGCTGACCTTCAGACAGACTGCCCCCCTTTCCCAGCCACGCTGCCTTCTCTCCTTTCCTTATTCTTTCTCAGACCGTTACACCAACCCGAAGTCGACTGGAACCTGTTTGTGGTATTTATCTGACTCTGTTTTATGATCCCCGTTCTAAATTTCAAAACTTTTTCATTTCTCACTCATTAAAAACAAAAGTCAAGTAACTCCCCAAACCAGAGAATGTCCAATAAATAATAATCTCCCCTTGACAAGATTATTTGTCGGCCTTTTGCTTAGCCTTTGAGTGATGTTTCTCTGGGGCTCAGGGCCTCCGGGGGGGACAGCTCTCAGCCTCAGGGGAGGCTGCATAAGCAGCTACGTCTGTGTGGCGACCCCCATCCCTCCCCTGGATTACAATCTGGGCCTGGAGCCGGCCCGAGCCGGCTCACTCCTGGCTCAGCGGGACCCGAGAGCCTCTCTCTACTTGTCACCTATTGTGGGTCTCCCTCAGAAACACATTCTCCCTTGGGGTCCTCTTCTCCATCCATCCCCAGCAGCTGGCTAGGGACCACCCAGGGGAACGTGGGTGTAAAAGCTTGCCCGTATAGTTCTCTTGTCCTGCAGGCTCCTCCAGGCTCACATTTCAGCCCCTAATCAGCTCACACTTGTCACACCCTTGCTGTGTGCCAGAGACTGTATTAGGCACTCTCAAACCCTTATCTCACTTAATCCTCACGTTATATTTCTATGGCACAGCGCTGCTCTGAGATGCATTTACCTGGTGGAGGTAAATGATATTATGCTCACTTTACAGGGGGGAACTGAGGCTTGCAAACCTAGGCGACTTGTCCACTGTCATTGTTTTTAGGTAGAAGAGTCTGGATTTGAAACCAGGTCTGTTAGTGTCAAGTTGGGGACTATTCCCTCTAGACCACGCTGCACAAACCATGACAAACACTATTTTACGTGCTTTTTAGTTTACAAAATTCGCTCCCTAGTTTTCGCCTTTGCAGCACTGTTCACCTGTGCTGTAATTACCCTACGCCACCACTAATGGTATTTATAAATACAATAATAGCACAATATGCGCTGCTATGAGAAATACCCTGAAGTGGGGGCACAGAGAAGGGAGCTACTGACTGCCTGGAGGAGTTGGGGAAGGCTTCCTGGAGGAGGTGGTGTGAGTTGGGTGTTGAAGGCTGAGTGGAGGAGAGGAGGCAGGGGCTCCTGGCAAAGCTACGGAGTGTGTTCTGGTTGGTGTGGCCGACTCCTAGCGCAGGGGCTGGAAGGTGGGAGCAAATGTGGCAGAAGAGGCAGGTTGGGGCTGGATTGTGTTGGGTTTTGAAAGCCATGGGGAGAAGTTAGGCTTTATCCAGCATGGGAGGTGTCCCACTGAACGGTGACAGTGCAGGGGCTGTGCTTCAGAGCAAGCCCTTAGCCACGCCATCTAATTCAGTGGTCGCCAGCTTTGAGTACTTGACCTGTGGCCATCGGACCTGAAGAATTCTAAATCTTGTTTAATTCTCATTAAAATGTAGAAACTCATTTTCAATTCTGTGATTGGAAAATGTTTAAGAATATTTGGAACGATGTGAGTGTGTGAATCGATTTTCAACCGTACATTTTATGAAATCTAAATACAGAACAAGGACTTCTGATGAAAATACGGAGTCTGAACTGAGATGCACCCTTAGTCTAAGACACACACTGGATTTGGAAGATGAAGACAGATTGTACAGTAGTTCATTAGTAAGCGTTTTATATTGATTACATGATGAAATGATACTGTTTTGGAGATATTGGGTTAAAGATCATGAAAATTAATTTCACCTGTTTGTTTTTCCTTTTTAAAATTGTGGCTGCTAGAAAATGTACAGTTCCATAGGGTGGTTGTATAACGGGTCTCACTGTATTTTTATCGGGCAGCGCTGGTGTGAGGGTCTGATGCATTCAGGAGGCTGTGGAAGGCCCCAGGCACCGGCCCTGTCAACAACCTTTCTAGTGGCTCTGATGCAGGTGGCCGGGCAGCCTGCTCCCAGGACTTCTGCTGTAGAAAGATCCCTGTGGCTGCGGAGTGGAGGTTGGAGTGAGGGTGTGGGCCTGGAGGCAGCCAGGAGAGGAGAGAGGCCTGACAGGCAGCAGCCGTGGGGTGACAGCTCCCATCCGAGCATTCCCTTGCAGGGGCCTGGGCGCCCTCTGCGAGGCCTCTGCCCTGGCCTGGCCGCCCGACCTGGGGTCAGGCGGGAGCTGGTGTGAGCTCAGGGCAAGGCGCCGTCGTGGGGGGGCAATGCTCTTGGGGAGCGAGTGCCCCTGCAAGGGACCACCAGCCCCGCTGGAAGCCATCCTCTGGGGATTAACCCTGCGCCCACTGTGGAGCCCGCAGAAATGCCCGCTGGCACGGAAAAGAGCCCAGCTTGGCCACCTCGGCCCGTCCCTGGATGAGGGCCAGGAGCGAAGGGGAAGAGCTTGGGAGGAGTAGGGAGGCACTTTGCTCTGGGACTTGCCTCCCCCGGCCCAGGCAGTACCCGGGCCATGTCTGTGGCTCAGTTTTTGCTCTGGTTTATGCTAAAGGTTCTCTGGGGAGTGTACAAGCTGGGTTTTGAGCGAGGACTTGGAGGAGACAGAGGAACAGGTCTCTTCTCAGGGAAGCTATGGTACGGGAGCAGAGCCCTCCCCGGGAGCCCCTCGGGTGGCGGCGCCCAGCAGGCCCCCGGCCTACCTTCACTATGTCCTCGTTAATGTTCTTGGGGTCTCGGTTCACCAGGTCGATCTCCTTACAGTGAATGTCCTTGACGATCTGGGCCTCCAGGTCTGTGCGCTCCTCGGCCATCATCGCGGAGCTGGGGGGACCCGCGGAGGGGATCTGAGCCGCGTGGCCGGCGGCGCTGAGAAGACTTGGGGCAGGGACACCAGTTCAGTGTCCCCAGACTTGTGCCCCCGCCGGCTAAATAGGCCCCACCCGGTGTGCCGGCTGACAGCTGTCCTGCATAACTTCGGCCTGCTTCTCGCTCAAGCCTCCCGTGGCAGGCCTCCAAGCTAAAATTAAGACAGAGCTCTGCTGCAAGGCCTGGCACTCCTTAAAGGGGGCTGTGCGGGCACTGGGCCTCCCGCGGGACAGCGGAGGGGCTGGCACCCCCCTGTGCCACCCAGGGCCTCGGCTGTTGGGGGGGCTGGAATTTGCCCCACCGCGGACAGCGTTCGGGCTCCTCCCGGAGGGGCAGTGGGGTTGGTCCCCAGCCCTGGCTCTTGCTGGCTGTGTGAGCTCGGGCACGCCTCCCCTCTCTGGGCCACCATGTCCCCAGCTGTAACGCGGGGCCATAATGATAACAACTGGGGCTCTGCCTACCCTCGCACTGAGGAGGAGCCGAGCTCCAGTGGAAAAGGGCTCTGGGAACTGAAATGCTGTCTGGTGGGGTTCTCGCTGGAGTCGTTAGTACCTGGCCCTGCTGTTTGGTGGCCCCGAGCAGGACTGAGGTTTCCCTGTTTCTGAGGTTTTCCCGTGGATGGGGAGTTGATGGACTGTGGGGTGATGGGGCGGGGAGTGAGACAGGGAAGGAGACGCCTGATGGGGTTGCCCACTCTCCTCTGCCTTCTTCTTCTTTTTTTTTTCTTTTTGTGAGGAAGATCAGCCCTGAGCTAGCATCCATGCCAATCCTCCTCTTTTTTTTTTTTTTGCTGGGGAAGACTGGCCCTGAGCTAACATCTGTGCCCATCTTCCTCCACTTTATATGGGAGTTGCCACAGCATGGCCTGACAAGCGGTGTGTTGGTGCACCCCTGGGATCCGAGCCCGAGTCACCGGCAGCAGAGTCCGTGCACTTAACTGCTGCGCCACAGGGCCGGCCCCTCCTCTGCCTTCTTGATGCCACGTGGAGGGGATGTGAAATCCACGTGTCCACTGCCCTTCGCCCTGCCCCTGGTGACAGCTTACAGGGTATCCACGGGCCCCAGACACAGTCCAGGCATCAGCAGGGAGCACCTCTCTTAGGTGCCTGCTCAGTTTTGTGTCCTCTTCCAACTCAGTCACCACTTGAGGCCCCCACAGCATGAAGGATGAAGACTCTGAGTCCCCCGGTGCCAGGATCTGTGCATACATTTTCCTTCCACCCGTGCATTCATTCAGGATTTGCTGACACCTTGGGGTAAACGGACAAATCAGGCTCTGTCCCTGCCTTGAGGATAGTCTAGGGGGACAGACTGATCAAAAAATAAGTAATTATAGTACAGTGTGGCAAGTGCTACAGATCAGAGATATTTTACAAAGAACTTGCCTTAGAAGTTCATAGGAGGCAATGGCTTACTCTGAGGGCATCCGGGAAGGCTTCCTGGAGGAGGTGGCTTTAGCGTTAGGTGTTGAAGGACAAGCAGGAGTTCACCACATAGAACATTTCAGGTAGCAATAGATATCAGAGGACTGGTGTGAATTAGAATGCTAAGAAGTGTGTAGTGGCTGTAGCAGGGGCTGTCTGGGGGGGAGAGGCAGGAGATATGGCTCGGCTCAGGCCTGGGTGCGAAGGATCTCAAATGTCATACTAAACAGTATGGATTTTATCTAGAGGTGCTGGGAAACCACTGACAACTTCAAAGCAGCAGAGGATCTTTATCAGATTTGCCTGTGAGGAAGATCACTGGGGATTGGATCTGGGTGAGGTTTGAGGCAGGAAGACTAATTGAAAAGCTGGAAGCGATAAGAGCTCTATCAGTAATTGCACTTGGCTACTAATAATAAAGATGCAAAATAATATTGGCTTGTACAAAGTAGGGACTTTTCTTCTCTCTTTCACATAACACAAATAGGTAGTTCAGAACTACTATGGTGGCTCCATGATGTCATCAGGCACCCAGACCTCCATCTTTCTGTTCTGCTATTCTCAGAGGCACCATATAGGCACAATATGGCTGCTGCTGTTCCAGCCATCATATCTCAGTCTAGACGAGAAGAAAGAGGAAAGGGCAGGGGCAGGAAAAGACATCTGCCAGGTGAGTTACCTCCATTAGAAAGCTTTCCCAGAAGTCCCACTTGACTACTTCTGTTTGTTCTCATTGGCCACCCCTCTTGGCAAAGGAGGCTAGGAAATGTAGATTTTTAGCTGAGCACACTGTTAGCCCTCACAGTGTCACTAGGGATAAATGGTAGGCAACTAGAAAACTCTGTCACTAAGTCTCTTAGGAATTATCTGTTTTGTTTTTTTTTCATCTCTTTGTCTGGGCCCCGAGGTCCTGGGGATCTGTACCTCCTCCTGCAAAGAGATTGGGACAAAGAAAGATCGTTGCTGCCTGTGTTCATGTGGCATCTGAGCCTGAGCTTTGTCCATTGCAGGACCAGATATGTCTGGTGAAAAGCTGGGGCAGCAGTATTGTCACAGGGATGGAGAGGCCACTGGAAGAGACCCGTCCTCAAGCAGAAGTGATGGTAACAGAGGGTAGTAACGATTATGGAAGATGCATTTTCCAAAGATGGCCGCATCTGCACTCTTGCAGTGGGACTGACACTCCTTCCACCAAGAGATGGGTCTGTGTTCCTCCCCTTTAATCTGGGCAGGGGTTTGGATTATTCTGACTCATAGAGGACAACAGAACCGAGGCTGGGTGACTTTGGGGCCAGGCCATCAGAAGGGTGCAAATTCCTGGCTCTTTCCTCTTGGGAGGGATTCTTGCCCTTGGGACTCAGCTGCTGTGCTGCGAGGAAGCCCCAGCCAGCCCATGTGGAGGGACACGTGCAAAGGACCCGAGGTCCCCTGCCATCAGCCAACATCAGCCATCAGACGGTGAGTGAACAAGGCTTCGGATGACTCCAGCCCCCAGTCTTCAAGTCCCCCCTAAACCTTTGCACCTTCCAGCTGAAGCCCAGCCATCATGGAAGAGGGACAATTTTTTTTCTCTGTGCCCTGTTTGAATATTGAAACCATTGAGTCCATGAGCAGAATACTTTTTTTTTGTGTCACTAAATTTTGGGGTAGCTTGTTTCACAGTCGTGGGAACTGGAACAAGCTGTGACAATAGTAGTAACAGCCATTACTGTTTGTGGAGGTTCACTCTGTGCTGGGGCCTGCTGAGGCACCCTCGGTGTGCATAAACTGGCTTGTTTGTCACGTGAAAGGGTCGCTGCCTTGAGCCGGCCATCAATGCTGACGGTCGAGCTTGTGGGGCACATTGTGGATTTTAGAGGAAGGAACTGCTGTGGCCCGAGGTGACCAGACAGTGCTTTCTGAAGGTGGCGGCACTTCAGCTGGACCAGAAGGGTGACTGGAATCAGAGAGGCAGGGTGGAAATTGCCAGATGCTGGAAGCAGAGAGCTGGCTCTCGTTTCATCATGACAATCCTATTTCCAAAGACAATGTCATGGAAAGAACATTTAACCCAGGAACCGTTAGTCCTGAGGTCCTTTCTTGGCCCCATCACTAACCAGCTTTGTGACCTCGGGCCAGCTAATTACCTTCTCTGTGCCTAGTGTCCTCACCTGTCAAACGTGGATGGGGAAACCCGCCACGTTCCTCACGCCCTGACTCTACCTCACCCCCAGGGGGATAACCTCGTGGGCCCCCGGGGGCCCGTGTACCCAGGAGAAAATGCGAGGAAGAACACACTGAAAGATGCAGCATTCACGTCAACCCTGGGGCGATGCTCCTGCCGTGAGAACGCAGTCAAGGAGGGAGAGGGACGTTCTGAAGCCCGTTGTGTGCCTGGGGTTTTATGGAGGACTCTGTGTTCTTATTTTATTTATTTATTTTTATTGTGAAATTTTTGTTGTACATTATTGTTTGTTTGTCAGTCACCATATAAGTGCATCCCTCCACCCCTTGTGCTCACCCCCACCCCCCTAGCCCCTGGTAACCACCAAACAGTTCTATCTGTGCGTGTGTTGGTTTATCTTCCACATATGAGTGAAATCATGCCCTGTTTTGTTTTTCTCTTTCTGGCTTATTTCACTTAACATAATACCCTCCAGGTCCATCGATGTTGTTGCAAATGGGACAATTTTGTCTTTTCTAATGGCTGAGTAGTATTCCATTGTATATATATGCCACATCTTCTTTATCCAGTCATCAGTCGAGGGACACTTGGGTTGCTTCCACTTCTTGGCTATAGTGAATAATGCTGCGTTGAACATAGGGGTGCAGAAGCCTCTTTGGATTGTTGATTTCAGGTTCGTTGGGTTTTAAAGGCGTTTTGTTGTTGTTTGGCTTGCTAAGAGAGAGAGAGAAAAAATCTTTGAAAATGAGAGGTGCAGGAAGACGTAAATTTGTGGGGTGTGAAAAGGGGAAGTAACAGGAAAGATGATGGAGACCGACTCGCCGAGAAAGTCGTGGCACTGCTATCTGGAGACTCAATCAACTGTCACATTTAGGGTTCCTGTTAACCAGTGAGATTTATCACTTATGCACAAGTTCCTGAGACAGGGGAGGCTGGGGTGAGTAGTAGAAAGGAAGGTTTTTGTTTTTCCTGGAGTTTACATCTAGGTGGAGGCTCCTATTACCTGTTCACGCCTTGGCTTTTGGAGTCACATTTGGAAGACAAAGCACAGCATTCCAAAGCTGGACGAGACCCAGTTTCTAGATTTTACAGACGAAGAAACTGAGGGCCCAGAGAGTCTTAGTTGGCGGAGGAGAGAGCTTGGGATTTGGAGACAAAAGAACCAAGAGTAATTACATGTGCCAGTCAGCAGGTCACTCCCCTCCAAGCTTCAGTTTACTCCTCTATATAAGGAGGATAAGAACACCATCTCTTCTTACCAGATTTTGGTACCTGATTCCTCCAGGAGATTTTGGGAGATTTTTGGAATGGTTTCCCAAAAAGAGCAATGTGATCTCAGGATGAATTAACAGAGATATACCATCTAGAATGATGGAGGTGACTGTTCTACTTAACTCTCCACTGGTCAGACTACACTTGGAGCCTTGTTTGGGTTCCATTCTTTAAGAGGGGTCTTGAGAAACTAGATCCTATCTATAGAGGGTGAGCAAGATGGTGCAGCTGTTTGAAACGTGAGAAACAGCAATATTGGGTTGGAGAAAAGGAGACTCAGTGG